AAATTGAAGAAAGTTTAGTGGAATAGATTATGAACTAGAAGTGAATAATAAAGACCTGCTTATGTTAATTAACATTGATAAAGATTATTAGAAAGTTAAAAGAGATGAAGCTATATGCTTCAGACACATTATTTTCCTAATAGGAAAAATAAGGCCTTTCCATGTATACATTTCAAAACAGTTTCTCTTATACTCACTCAACATATTCTCAGGAGAAACCTATGGAATAGGTGAAGGGCATCATAGAGTAATGAGTTAGAGACTGAATTTACTTTAGACTTCATTTATCCCAGTCAATCTACTATACAGATGAAAAAGCAAGAGGTCATATAACTTTTACTACTGTCACCCCATCATTTAGTGTCAGAGGCAGGACTAAGACCCAGGCTTGTTGCCTCTTGGGCAAGGATTCTTTCCACTAGATCCTACTGTCTCTCCCACAATTGCACGTAACCTGACTAGACAGCTACAAAATCTCATTTGATTGGCAGTGGTGTTAACTGAATCTAAAAAGCATTTCAACAACTTCAGGATTGACAATTCAGTATTGCAGTTGCCCCCCCCCCATTTTCTCTCCCTTAGCTCTCATCAAAACTATACTAAAGCAATTCAAGAACTAGCTCAAATAATATAAAGGAAAAAGGACATGGAATCCTTTCATTTTCATCTAATTAAAATCACAAATGAAAACATTCATAATGACCTACCTATCATATTCAGATCAAAGGTGAGATATAAAGTTTAGTTAAGACCTAGCCTCTTCCTCTCAAGGAACTTATGGGTAAAATAGGAAAGATAATACACCACAGAGGGCTCTAATACAGTTGTTTATGAACTTATTAGGTAGTTTAAAATACATAAAAGAAATACAAAGGACAGATGGAAGGTAATCTGATAAGACAAGGCACAAACCAACTACAGAGGGCTGGTGGGGGAACCAAGAAAGTTGGGATGAAGGAAGCTAAGAGACAAAAATGAGTTGGGAGGGAATTTTAGGCTTGGGAGGTGGTTAATAGGAAGACATAGACATGGGATATGAGATGTACAAGGGATAGCACCTAGGCCAGTGTATCTAGATCATAGAGTGTATGGAGGGAATTAAAGCATAAAAAGACTGGAAAACTCAGAAGATGCCAAGTTACCAAAAAAAAAACTTTATATTCAATCCTGGAGATAATAAGGGAACACTAAGTTTTTGGTTGGGGTCAGAAGGTGACAGTCAGGACTACACTTCAAAAAAATCACTTTAGCAACTAAATGGAGGGTTATAATGGAGAGACATTTGAAGCAGGGAGTCCAATTAGAAGGCTATCTAAATAGTCCAAGTAGGAAGTAATGAGTGCCTAAACTAGATGGTGTATGAGTAGAGGGAAGAGGGCAAATAAAATAAATGCTATGGATGTAGAAACAAGATGGCCAGGAAAAAGAACTGGATTTTACTTGGTAAGAAACAGGGAGTCAATAAAATCTTTGAGCAGAGGAGAAGAAGACTGATGTGATGAGATTTATGCATGATAAGGATTATTCTGACAGTCTTATGAAGGGTGGCTTGGGTAAGGTGAGAACTAGTGGAAACAAAAACGAAAGGAAAATATAAGCAGAAACTCATAATCATTAGAACAGGTGATAATGAAGACTTGCTGTGTAGGGATGGGAATGTGAAGGCAGAGGAAGGTGTCAGTATTATAGATTTGAAACAAATATGGATAACTCATTACAGAACAAAAGTGTAGGAAGGGCAAGGGTCAAAGACAACTTGAAGTTAAAAACATGGGAAACTAGGTGAATAATGGTGGTTCCACAGACAGAAAGAGTGAGGTCATAATGAGGAGTAGGTTTAGCGAGAAAGATAAAAGATAATTAATTATGTTAATTTGGATAAGTTTTAGCTGCCAGTGGTACACTCAAGTGGGTGAGATAACCCATAGCAATTATGAACCTTGGTATGTATTTAGGTTCAGCAAAAAAAACAAAACAAAACAAAACATGATTTGAGATACAAATTAAATTATTTATTTTTATTCTTGAACAAAGAAAAATATATATATATATGTGTGTGTGTGCATGTACATATATATGTTAATACACATATGTGTAAACATATATGTGTGTGGGTGAACAGAGTATAAATATTATGTATATATAATGTGTTTGTATATACATATATAATGTATACATATATATACACCTTATTTGTTAGAGTTCAACAAAGTTATTAAGAGATCAAAGATGTCAGTCACCAATCAATGAAATAATCACAAATTTCAATCCATTTTTACAAGCACTGGAAGCCATTACAAACCCAAGAAAGTATCAAATATATACTGTGGAAAAAGCAAGGGAAAAGAATGGAGTGGAAGGATATTGCTAGATCAAGAAGATGAAGATGAAGTACCACCAGGGCACTGGCTTCAGGAACAAAGAGCCAATTAAAAAACATTACAGAAAAAAAACCAAAAAACAAAACAAACAAACAAACAAAAAAACACCCCAGCAGGTTTAAGCAATGGATTATATGTACAGGGTGTAGGAGAGAACAGAAGATAACTGGGTTTATTGAGTCTGACTTGGAATAATGGTATAACTTAGAGCAATGAAATAGTTGGGAATTTGAAGAAGAATATAAAGGGATTTCTATTTTATATTACCTACTAAACACAATATTGGTGACAGTGGTATTTTATGGATAGTCATATGAGAAACATTTATAAATTTTCCCCTTTCTATAAGCCCATTAGAAGCATTAAAACTTTGCTTATCATGGAAATAGAGTAAGAGACACAGATATCTGTGTTCTGTGAAATATTAAACATTGTTTTATAAAATTCTGTATACATTTTAAAATACATGAACTACCTGACCCATAATATCAATATGGTTATAAATCCATGGAATTAATGTTTAAGCTTATTAAATGTAAAAATATTAACAGATTAAGATGTATTCCTTGTTTTATAGAAAGTATATAATGATAAAACAAATAAAATAATTTAACATTTCTGTCATTATCTAAAGAACTGGGCATTTTGGAAAATTCTATTTATTTAAATTAAACAAATATTTTTAATCATGTGCAGAGGGGTATACTAAGTACTTTGTACTAGACTACTGTTTGTACTGATTCATTTCTCCCTATGCAAGTGCCATAGTGCTTGAAATTCCCCAGTCTTCAATAAAGTCAGTTTATCAAGGAAAGATAAATCATTGAGTGGACCCTGAACCAGTCTTATGAACATTCAGAGTATATAGTCATTTACAGAGTGTAATGGACTACTACTATTATCATAGTTAAAGTACTGCTATTAATAAAAATAGTGTGTAAATAATAAGAACATTTACATAGTATGTTATGGTTTGCAAAATGCTTTACAAAGGTTTCAGGGAAGCTGAGACCATCTCTCTACTTCAATGCCACCTTAACATGAAATGGACTCAAGTGCCACAGCTCCCTGTTTAACATTAAACATTTGATTTAATGATGGCCTCCTTCAGTGGTCCCATTATTTTCATTTTTAAGGAAAATATCACCTTGATGAATATCACATTGTCACTATCACACTAGTATGTAAGTATATAGAAATAATTTAATCAAAAAGAGGAGGTACCCAGTCCAAGACAAGGACAGGGGAAAAAAAGAATGAAAAGTAAGTAAAAAGGAATTATATTAGAAATAGAAGGTTATTTAAAGGTCATCAGTTCCTCCTCCTTCAATTTATAGATGAAAGAAACTGAAGTTCAGATAATTTAAATTATTTTAGCACAGAAAATGGGGATACTGAAGACTAACTTTGTCTCCTTCAAAATTTTGCTTGGAAGCAATCTGGAATGTAATAGCCATAAAATATAATTGAAAATGGTATCATTATTCTGGATCACAAAGATGCAAATGACTTGATCTTATTTTTCTTTTTAGCTTTTGATATGTATATACACACAAACATACATACATGCATATGAACACACACACATACACACACATATAATCATTCTAGCAGTGGGGATTTCTTCTCCCTTTCCATTTTAGAGCTATATAACCAACATTCAGCATTCTTCTATCTCTAGTAGCTTAATGACACCTGATTGGATATTATTGATTTTCTTTGCTCTTCAATATTTAACAAATTGTTGTTTAAAAAAAATTCATGCATAAACAAGACAACACACACACATACCTACGTTTCTTTGTTTGTTTGTTTTGTGAAAAGAGGTTCTTATTTGGAATAAGACCTGACATCACATTCCACATTCCTAACTCTCTACCTGGGTAATCTTTAGCAAGTCTCCCCATCTCTTTGGGCCTCCATGATGTCATCAAGATGGTTAAGTTGGACTGGAATTCAGGGTGTGGCACCTGTGGCCTTGAGGCCACATGCGGTGGTCTAGGTCCTCAAGTGTGGCCCTTTGACTGAACCCAAACTTCTCAAAACAAAGTTCTAGAGGGCCATGTGTGGCCTCAAGGTGGCAGGTTCTCCTCCCCCTGGACTAAATAATCACTCAGGTTCCTTCCAGCTATGAATGTTTACTTAAGGAATACAGACTGAAACATAATATTTTTCACTTTCTTTCATTTTTTCATTTTTTGAGTGTTTGTGTATGAAATGACTAATATAGAAATGTTTTACATGATTTCACATGTGTAACTATGTCAGACTGCTTACCATCTAAGGAATGGATCAGGGAAGGGAGTGAGAGAGAGATAGAATTTAACACTCAAAACTTAGAAAAAGTTAAAAATTGTTTTAACATGTAATCAGGGAAAAAATGAAATATATTTAAAAATGCTCACCCAAAATTGTACAGAAATATCGATCTTTTCTTATATAACTGAGGGACTGAAAACATCTATAAAATGAACTTTACTTGTATTTCTTCCTAGCAATTAATTATAACACCCCAAGGCAAGATACCATTTAATTAACAATATATTACTTTAGGATCTGTGTTCAAGAAGACTTTCACTAAAAGCTATTTATCATTCTTAATATTAATTTATGACTTACCATATTGATTGGATCAACAGGTCCAATGCTGTTGACATAAACATCAGTTTCAATTATTGTGGGTCTCACTGAAAAAATAATAGTACCAAAAAAAGTCACAGATATGATCAGCTGTGTAGGATATAAAGACAAAATTCAAGTTAATGACATAAAATTATTTACTTACACTATTATTTAATTAAAATTAGGTACTTAGACCATGGAAATAAGCTTTAGTTCAGGAATCATGATACATTTTAGCTTACTGTCAGTTCTACAGTCTAAAATTACATACTTGTACAACTTGATAATGGTAAGGAAAAGAAAGAATGGAAGAAATGGAAGGAAGTAAGGTGAAAAATGAAAGGTTGGAAGAAAAGAGAGAATTTAAGTGAGAAGGAAAGAGCAAAATTTAAAGTCCAGATTAAAACATTTAAACAATGCAATTGTGGGATAGATCACATTCATAGAGCAATGCAGTTGAAAGAGACCTTGGAGGTGACTTAGTCTAATACCTCTTAAATGTAGAAACCCTTACTACAATCTTCCTGATAGGAGATAGTCTAGGCTCTGCTTGAATGCATCCAATGACAGGGAGTTGTTTCCTTCTAGCCAACCCATCTTAATGCTAGAAAACTATTAGAAAAATTTGTCTTCCGTACAGCTGAATCTTTAACTCATTGGTCCTAGTTCTGGCCTCATGAGAGAAAAAAAGGTTTTCTCTGCATTACAAGCCTTCAAATAATTTAATAGTGTTAATATTCTGTTAAGCTTTCTGGTCTTCAGACTAAAACATCTTTTCTTCACTTGTTCATTCTATGGAAATAGAAAAAAAATCTGTGAAATAATATAATAAATCATTTTCTCCATTGATTACAGTGTAGCCAGAGAATTTGGACTCAAATGTTGCAATCCTAGTTGTTTTTCTAGAGGAAGTAGAAACGACATAAAATTAAACAAAGACGGAAAACTCAAATGGACTTGACAGCTAACCTACAGAGAACAAATCCAGACTGGAGGTAACAATATTGTAATGAGATTGAGGAATCAATTCCCCCTAAAGGTAGCTTACAAAGGAAAAGGTGCTGAAGGCTTGGGAAAGGAAACAAACAACTTCAAAAATCTCATAATGTATTGTTACTGGAAAAACAAATGACTAGTGATATTCACACTTATTGACCAATATGCTTATTTTCCCATGTCTACATTTTTTAAAAAATGAGCATTATCTACAACTTCAGAAGTAGAAGGGCAGAGGTAAAGTAGAGGGATGGCAGTTAGAAAGAGTTGAGTTCAAATCCCACATTGGTAATTCATTAGCTATATGACCTTGCACAAGTCACCCAAGTTTAATTTGCTTCAGACAACTTCATATTTCATTTCTTTTGTGGAGGGAATTAGGATATGAGAAACCTTCTATGATCTAAAAACTACACATATTTTGAGGACATCATTGATGGAAGTATTGAATGGAATGTTGCAGATTATTTTTACAGCAGACCTCATCTTTATAATCATCCATTTGACTAAAGGCATATAAACTAATAGCTATGAGAACATAAGACTGTTTTTTTTTTATATTTGACTGTAAAAAAGTATTCAATTCACTGAGTTAACTTAAAGGGACCTCCTCAATATTCCCTATGCATGTATCAAAAATATTACAAATTGCTTGAAAAAAATGGAAGAGACAACTTTTTGGATGACTGATTATAAATCTCAAGTAAGATATAAAAGAAGGGGACATTTACTCTCAAACAGAGCTTGCTACTATCATGGAGAATGTCTAGTACTGAGCCCATATGGAAGAGGGGTTTCCTATTGATAATGGCAGGGTCTTTCATACGCTATTGTTGGTGGAAAATATTGCAAAGTTTTTAGTAAGCAAAATAATATTTCATTGACATACACATCATTAAAAAGTTTGGCCCAATTATCCTCACAGGGAAAAACAAACAAACAATCTTAAGAAAAAAAAAAGTAGATGAAGCGTGTCTATTGTCCAGACTTCATATTGCCGTGGGAAAGGCCCTACACCATTACATGGTATTGGACCCTGAGTATAAACAAAGGGGAAGAGAGTACTTTGAATTATCTTTGGGGAAAAATGTTTTTAATGACCCCAACCTTCACAGTGAAAAAAGTTTACATATCTTTCTGGTGAACTAATATCACTTATAGTCATGGAATAATATAGTCTCTAAAATTTAAAGTTAAATGGTTAATCTCCATTTTCCATCAGTGGCTCTGCTTGGTTTCAACTCCATGAACATCATGCCTCCTCAGCATAAGCTTATCTTCTCAAATCTCATCACCATGAAGATTGACTTTGCTTTTAATACTCAACACATACTCAGTACTCTCATTTGCCTCTCCCCTCAGATTAGAGTAGTGGAGAGTGGAAAAATAAATGCCTACCAATGCATTCCTTTATAAAATGTTCAGTACTTTCCAGGTAATTTTCCACTTGCCATCAGTAGGTCTGCTTGCTTTTGACTCCATAAATATCATGCCCTGTGCTCTGGTATGCCCTCCTACCCCCTTTTCAGAATTTTTGTTTTTTGTGTATTTTCTTCCCCCATTAATTTATAAGCTCCCTGAGGGTATTGATTGTCTTTCTTTTTCTGATTGCAACTCTGGCACTCAGAACAGTGTATGGCACATAGCAGGTACTTGATAAATATTTCTTGAATTGAATTCAATTATCTATAGGGCAGTGGAGATACTCATGGTAGATGTAAGTAAGCTATAACCTAGTGCCAATCAAGATTTGTAAGAGATAAGTCACAAAAAGTATGTCATTAGATATTCATAATTGCCAGAAAAGCTGAACCAGCCATGTGCCAAGAATGAAGGGAAACTAATGGACATCCCAAGTTTTGTTTTGTTTTGTTTTGTTTTTAATATAATGTTTAAAAAGCTAGATAAAAGCTCATGGCTTTTACGATGGACTCCCTCAGCTCTGCTGAATTTTTGGGAGGCTATGGACAAAGATTGTGCACAAAAAGAGGTTTACCTGTGAGTTATGATATGTACCCCTGGAAAGAGTACCCACATAGATGTTGAAACATTAAAAAAAATTCTGCTTCAGTCTCCAAATGAGACCATTATAATGAGAAGGAACTAAATGTTTAGATGATGTGTTTCCTAAGAATGAGTCCTCATCTTTACCTTGGTCATTTCCTACCCTGCCCCTACAGTGGTTGCTGCTGCTATTTCTCCATTCTCCAATCCAGATCAGAGACCAGGCCTGGGAGGACCTCAGTCACTTGGATCTATATTTTATAAGACCTTGAGTCCTCATCTTTGCTTCCCCATTCCTAATTCTTGTTATGAAAAGTATAATCAAACCAACATTACCTTTGCTTTTGGAATGGATTTATCAATAGACTTCTTTACATTTCCACTTCCATCCTAGTGATTTCCCAGACCAACACACTCTTCCCTTTTGATTCCTGCCTTAAGTTTTGTCTTCCTTATTAACTGCTACTTTCTTGTGCTCACAGATGTAAATCAACACATAAACATCAGGCAAAATCATGATCTAGTGAAATATTTTAATTTTTAAAAATAATTTTTGTTTGTGAAGTCATTTAGATTCAACAAATATTTATGAACTTATTAGTCAGGGCCTTTCCTTGATATCAGTTAAGTCTATAAAGGGAGAACATGGGTTATATCTACTCAATGGCAAAAATTTTTTGTCAGATTTGAGTGTTTGGTGTCATGGGGAAAAAAAGCTTATTGATTGACCAAATATTTATGTTTTCTACTTGATTTAAACACTGCTATTGCCTGATTTGTATTTTTCATTTTTATTCATATAGAAATTTTTTGCATATTTTATTATGTGGTATTTTGATTTAAATATTTATATTAATTTATTGTGCTCATTTTATTAAGATTATACAATTATCAATATATTTCCTTTGGTGCCAGTACAAGTGTATTATTATCCTTATCATTTTTAAATCTCATTGATTACATGTTTTTTGAAGAAAAAGTAGGATTTTCTCTCCACTGATATTATCTTTTATTAGATAGTATATTTGTCTGTATATATGTGTGAGTATATGTGTGTATGTTTATCCAAAAAGATCAGAGTACAAACACATTTAGTTGGTTCACCAAGTAAACATGAAAAGCAACAAATGAAGATAAATTCCTAAGTTAATCCCTTTTTTGTTACAAAATTTTAAGGGAAATAGCCTTTATGTATACCAATTTTTCAACCTGAAGGGTCTTAAGAAAGTACTGAATGGCATTTTAGTATTTAACATCAAAAGGCCAAATTTGTTTTCTGTGAAAGTCACCCTTACCAAGTGACACAAAGGCCAAAGAAGGCATTTCTATGAAATTTCCATTTATCATATCTGACTTAGATCCTTTTGTGTAAAAATAGAAAGTACCTTAGCTAAATCAATTCAATCTATATAATACAAATAAATAAATATATTCAATAGGCACACCAATACATGCATAGCATGACAAAAACTTTTGTTTTTGAGTTGCTTTGTTCAGGGAAATACATGCATGTACATAATAACTAGCAGTTATATAGTAACTACTATGTGTAAGGCACTGTACTTAGTGCTTCATAAATATAATCACTCTTGACCTTCACAATGATTCTTGGAGGTAGGTGATAGTTGAAGAAATTGAGGTAAACAGAGGTTAGTGACTAACACAGAGTAGGCATTTTAAAAAATTTACTGGATCACATTGTATTGAATTTCCTTTCTCAGGTTCACACAACTACTAAGTGTTTAAAGTTCGATTTAAACTCAGGTCTTCCTGACTCCAGACCTTACTTTTTATCCATTTTGCCACCTAGCACTTTAATATATACATAGTCACATACATATGTGTACATACGTATATGTATACATATATGTGCATACAACACAGATGTAGTATAGCCCGAGTAGCATGTGTCTATGTATATGTACATATGTGTGCACATATATGTACATAAGCATGATGCATGTGCATGTAGTATACACACGTGTGGAGCGGGTAGTTGGCAATGTGAATAGAATGCTGAAGTCAGGAAGACCTGAGTTCAAATTGAGCGTCTATTACTTACTAG